TGTGCTGGGTACTATATACCCATGGTTAGTGTTCTAGGGTTAATGTAAATGTTATTCCCACCTTTCTCTTGATCCATGTTGAGATTCACAAAAAGTTTGTTTTTGTCCACTTGTTTTTTCCTCTCAACTGGGTCAGTCTTTGATTTTTTTCACTCTATCATTTATTTTATCCTTCCCTCTCCATTAGTGAATGACCTTCTTGATTTTGTCTAAGGGCAGAATACAGCAGCCGCTCTTATTTTTGTGGAGTGGACGGGTCTTACTAACATCTGTTATGTTTACTTTGAATCTTTCAGTTTTGTTTTGGAGTTCATCCCTTCCCCTCTCATTTCATGAGTATGTATTTTTATAACTTTTTCAGAAATTTGAAATAGTTAATAAAAAATTGGATAGACAGAATTTGTTGATATTATTCTACCAAACATGTATGGAATATATATATATATATATATATATATATAGATAATATTAGTGGAAAATATACATACATATGAAAATATATCTAAAAAATTCCCATACATGTATATTTTCAGAAAAAATTTTTCCAAGAGGAAGGATCCAGGTAGAACTGAATGTCTAGGACAGAGTAAGGATATAATAAAAAACAGAAAACACTAATATACCATGGTCATAATTTATTCCATTGGAATCGTAAATATATCCAAATCATCAGACCTATAATTCAAAAATATATATATATATATATATATATATATATATAACTGTTGTAACCGAGGAAAGGTTACTGAATGAGGAATAACCAAAACAGAGGTTGGAAATGAAATGGGAATCTTTATAACATCAATAAAATATAATACTCACCAGTGTCATGAAGTAGGTGAACCATTGCTAGTGACGGACTACTTAGACAGCATATTACCTCCACTAGTGTCCAATGCATTCATGAGGATTCGGACATAACCACTAGTGTTCATAGGTACGGTATATAACAATAACATAGTTTAAAATTTTGTTGACAATAACTGCAAAGGTTGAAAGTACGTGAACAAAACTAATAAAATACGAACTTTGGACAGTTTGTCCACAGCTTCAAGCACAATACTCGACACCTTATCCGGAAATTGGAAAAAATACAATAAAACATAAAACAGACAAACGTTGTTTGTTCTTTTTAATCAAACTAATATATATATATATATATATATATATATATATATATATATTTTATTTCCAGCAAGACATTCATTTCTGTAGTTTACTGCTACCAGCAAGCAGAAATATTTCTCCTCCCGATGATGGCCATTTTTGGGTCGAAACTAGTTGCAGAATCTAAATGAAATAATAATAATAATAATAATAAAAAAACGAAAGAATATTAATCTACAACCCAGTGTCTGAAGATTTTAATTTTTTAATATTTTTTTATTGTTCAAAATATATAATTAATATGAAAAATTTTTTTTTGTTTTACTTCGGAGTTTCATGGTTATATAGGTATAACCACTTGTTGGAACAGAGTTAATTCTCTTCCTCTCTTTTTTTCTTATTTTTTTCTCTTTTATTCTTTTCTTACCCTCTTCATTAGTCTCTGGTTTATTATTGACTATTTAATTTAGGTTATGGTTGGAATTTTGTGTGTGTGCATATGTTTGTGCAGGTGTGGTTATTCAGTGGAAGGTAACAATTGTATCAAATCATTCTAGCGGCTATTTAGTAGAAATAATTGGATCTGAATCCAGTTATTTGTAGCTATTTGATGAGTTGATATTTTACTTGTAATTTATTATTGATTTTTGTTGTTATTATATTTTGCTTGTGTTTATATGTGAATTCTTAGTTAATTTATCATTTACTTAATTTGTTTATTTATTTATTTAGTTTTTTTTTTGTTTTCAGAGGTTGGTTAACTTATTTGTTTAGTTTAAAGTATTGACTTTGTTTAAAGTATGCTATATTATCTGCATTGTATACAGTGCATATATTTTCATTTTTCATGGTAATATTTTACAAGATATTCATTTTTAAGTAACCTTGTAAAAATTTGTTTTCATGTCTGCATTCTGAGATAAATTCTGATCATTTATTTAGGAATTTGTGTTAGTCTGAAAAGGTCAGCACATTGTGACTATGTTCATGAGTGTTACCTTTTTCTTATATAGTATTGATGCTCCCATTATTTTTAGCCATTTTTTTACACATGGATGAGACTATTATGGTCATATTTTTCACAAGTGTATTGCAGACAGGTTGTTAGTTTTCTGTGTGCACTTTAATGGGTCCTAATTAAACTATGATCTGAGAGTTGTGACATGAGTCTTCTTGATAAGCATGTAGTGGGATGTCCAATATAATTTATTAATATGATTTCATCAGGAATTTCTTAAGAGGCATGTAAATTCATTTATAGTTTCTGGAATTGTCATCAGTGGTCAACTGAACTTGTTTTGTTTCAATAAATTCACTCCTGAGTCTGTCTATATTTCTGAGATGAGGTATGGATCTAACCTCAAGGACACATGGCACAGTGGATAAAGGCATTGGTTAGATCCAGTGACAGACCCAAAGAAGGTGAGTTCAATTCCTGGTTAAGGCAGTGGAGAACTTTCAGAGGGAAAGAAAATTAGCAGAAGATAACTGATAACTGACATCCATCAAACATGGCACGTGGAACTAGAACAGTCTACCCCAGTGATCGAAATAAAGGGTTCAGTTCGAAATTCCAACCGGAGCGTACAGCGGCCGAAACGTTGTGACAAATATGGCGACAAAGATGAGGACAATAGTCCGACTAATGTAAATACTGTAAATTCACTCCTATTTTTAATGTGACCCAAATGGGACAATGCCAGAATTAAACAAAAGCAGTTGTGTGTATATATACACAAAAGACAATCCTTGAAAACGAATGTAGCAACATTTGAAAGCATTCAAATTCATGAATAATATTGGTCTTCAGTAATTTGGATCATGCAAGTAAGTTGTTATTGTTGATGCTGAGGTTAGCTGCTATAAATTTTTTATAATATACAAAAATGCATACACACACACACGTATATTTAATATTTCTTATTTATAAAAACAATTAAAAGCTTTTCTAATTAAATAATATTTTAGTTTGATTGCATTTTCCGTTTTACAATTCAGAGCAGATTTTTGGTAAATGAGTAACTGTTTGAAAAAAAAAAAAAAAAATGATTAACATTCTCCAATGAATCCCGCTTTATGAAGAGGGACTAAATTTAATTTCTGGAAATTTTATTAAGTGGGTGAGTAACAAATGAAAAAATATATTTCTACCAAGATTTTCTAAAAGAAAAAAAAAAAAAAGAAAAGCTTCTAAAATAATTTTATTCATCTATGAATAAGTCCTGAAAGTTTCATTAAAATCTGACAATTATTTGATTTTTGCAAAAATTTCCAAAACACTGTCTTTTTTTTTGTTTTTTTTTTTTTTTTACTGCAAAAAAGATGGTAAAATTTCCAATACTAATCTTTGCAATCCCTGCTGATGCAAGAAAAACAAGATTTTTAAGCAAAATTTTTAATGTGCTTGAAAGGATTATAATTTAATAAAATAATAAAAAAAAATGCTTTGGTCTTTCCTCTTAATAATAACAAACATTTTGTTGCTAAAACTTTGGTTTTATCAAGTTTATGGAATTTTTCATCATGCTATGCTGTGTCTGTCTATATTTCTGAGATGAGGTATTATGTACATTATTTACATTATTCGGACTTTGTCGCCATATTTATCACAATGTTTCGGCCGTTGTACCCTCTGGCCTTCTTCAGGTTCCTCAAGGACACATGGCACAGTGGATAAAGGCATTGGTTAGATCCAGTGACAGGACCAAAGAGTGTGAGTTCAATACACAGTTAAGGCAGTGGAGAACTTTCAGAGGGAAATTAACAGGAAATAACTGATAACTGACATCCATCAAAACATGGCACGTGGAACTAGAACAGTCTATCCCACTGAGCGAAATAAAGGGTTCAGTTCGACATTCCAACCAACTGAAGAAGGCTGGAGCATACAATGGCTGAAACGTTGGCGACAAAGATGGGGGCATAGTCCGAATAATGTAAATAATGCTATGCTGTGTTTTCAGTGAATTATTAGAGGTACATACATACATACATACATATATATAAACTAATCCTAAGGAGCCAGGTAAACGTGGCTCCTTAGGATTATTTTAGTTTTTGGTCAACTTAGTATATTGAGTACTTTACGTTTAGTCTTTTACTCATTTTGTTTTTTTTTTTTTTTTTCTTTGGACTTGGAGCTCAAGCACTTGACAAGAGGATTCGTACAGTGTCATGTTCTTGGGACTTTTTTTTTATTTCCAATTTTTCCCTTGGACATCAATTTGTTATATTACAAGTTGAGCTAACCAAGGTTTTCCCAAACAAGTATTACCATTTATTTATATATATATATAATATATATATATATATATATATATATATATATATATATATATATATATATATATATATATGTGGGGTAATGGATAGCAGCTTGGATTGAGGAATCGGAGAGCCGTGTTCGAATTCCAGTCGAATCCATTACATTCACTAATACCCTTGGGAAAGGTGCGAATCCTCTTCTCCCTCCAGCTATGGGTAAATAGCAGGACAGACTGGGTTCTATAGCCTGGGATGGCAACTGAACTAGGAGAAGGACAACTCTGAATTCAAAACCTGCAGAGGGTCGTTTGGGGACCTTGTGGCACATAGTGCGCCAGGTCTCTCTATTCAGCCCTTCAAAATGTGTGAATGGTCCTGCACAAAACCTTCACCACTATAATCAAATCTCATGTTCTGTTGTCGAGCTGTCGGTTTCCTGGGATCTGATCTGCTTGACCCTCATACATTGAGAGTCAAGTATATATATATATATATATATATATATATATATATATATATACACACACACACAAATACACTGCATTTTTTTTTAATATGAATTCTAAAACAGTTATCTTGCTAATTTTTTATTGCTACTCTTTTTTTCTTTTACTTTTTCTTTTTTCCAGTTTGTCTGGTTGAAAAGAGTGAAACTCCAGGAGGTGTAAAGCTAGTTGATACAAAGTCAACTCATAAATCATCCCCCTCTGATCTTGTGGATCTGGCAAAACAGATACAAAAGGTACGAAGGAAGGCAACCCTCAATATTCTCTTATCTCTGTCTTTTTTTGGCCAAAGATTTCAACGTTTATAGGTTGCTTTAGAAAATAGTTACTTAAAACATGTTGTAGAGTAGTTTTCACAGTGGAGGCTTGTATTTCAATAAGTCATCCCAAATTAGGTTCGACGTACAAAACATTAGGAACTTGAAATAAGAGCTAATGACGCAGCAATCTAGTTGTGATGGTTGGTACTTCAATGTCCGATATCGACTGACTCGCTCAGCACCACTGAGCCCAACTGGCGACCGCTACTACTACTACTACTACTACTACTACTACTATTACTACTTATGTGTGGGAGAGTGTATTAATAATAGAATAGGTACGTCAGGAATAACACAACACGAGCTTAATTTGATTGCAGGGTAACAAGTATGGGATACTCACCTAAAGACTCAACATATTTTTGATAATGTTTTTTTTTTTTTTTTTTAATCTGTATCATCCCATGCTAGGCAGTAAAGCTACTAAGACACAAAGGTGTTACAGGGTGATGAAGAATTAGGAAGAGAAACATTAACAATGAGCAGGAAGAGGAAGGAGTAATCAGGAGGACAGTAAATAGCGATTGAAATTGCATTTAATTTTTTGCAGATTAAAGTTGGCTGGAAAGCATGGAGCTGGAAGGGAGTTCCACAAGTGAGAAGTGTGTGAAAAGAAACTCTTGTAACTTACAGTTACAGCTAGCCAGCTCAACTGTAAATTGATGAAATTTTGTACGCCAGTCTAGTACTGCGTTTAAATTCAAGAACTCTAGATATCATAATGAGCTCATCTAAACAATTATCATGAAAGTATTTATAGAAAAGACACAGATAGACAACCTTATGGGAATGGGAAAGTAAATGAAGCTGAGCTGCCAGATCAGGACCAATAATATTGCTGATTCGTCTTTGATTTTACATCAATGACACTTACATATTGCTTTTTTTTTTTTTTTGAGGTATCTACCTATATATATATATATATATATATATATATATATATATATATATATATATGAAGAAAATATCTGGAAAAACAAACAAAAATCCTTAGAATGTGATTATGTTGTTTTAATATGAATGAAATGTCGACGTCTGAAGTTTCGGTTTAATAACCTTCTTCAGGACAATATTCATTAAAAATACAATACAATTAACATAATCAGTATAACTCGACGAAAACGATGGACATAAAAAACAAGTCTTATCCAAAACAGATGAAAGAAAATTTTAAATGATCAGCTTTCCGTTTGAGCGTGGTCACGTTGTCGTCAAATGGGCGACGCTTTCAAAACGTATTCTTAAAATTTTATAAAATTTGATTCCGATGGAAAGCAGTTCGTTGTAGGAATATGCGGAGACTAGTAGATTCTTGTATCTTCGGATAAGCATGCAGTCCTCCATGTAATAAAATGAATTCAGCTTTGTATTTCCAGTGGACAGTATGATAAGCAAATATAAATGTATATAAATCCGACAGAATGAAGAAAATATTAAAAAGAAGAGGGGTGCCGCAAACGTTTTTGGTTGTAATGTGGATTTATTGAGAAAAAATATTATACTTTGTTTTACATAATTTCACGACACGTGTTTCTGGTCTGGTCTACTTAACCGTCTTCAGGTGAAAGTGGAGATTTTTACATATTATTAAAAATAATTAATTTTTCTTCATGTTCAATGTGGAATATTCTCGATATGAGACATTCTGTTTGTGTGTTGGCAATCCGAATTTTCTTTCTAGAATTATATATATATGGTGGACTCTCCCATCATATTCTATGTATGAGGGTCAACCAGCTCAGTTCCTAGGAAACAACAGCCCAGACACTAGCACATATGATTTGATTAGTGGTGAAGGATTTGTGCAGAACCAACCACATTTTTTGAAGGGACACACTGCTGCTTTTTTTTTGGTTTTTTATACAGGTACATATGTTAAGCTTTGCCAACTATATTATATATAGATAATGTCCAATACTTTTGGTAATTTAAACATCAGAAAATAATTAAAAAGGACTTGCCCTGTTATCGTAAAAGTGGTCACTATGTGCACATTTATAATGATCGCAAGCATCTATGCTTCATGTCTTCCAATGTATTGTTCAATGTCTCTGAATTTTGGAGTAGCCTCTCACTCTCTCTCTCTCTCTCTCTCAGACACACAACTTTGCCTCAAGCTTCCACCAGCTCACTTTTGGTATCTTTTTGTGTGTGAAAGTCTAATGAAGCATTTTCAGCTCAAAAACACAGAAGATGCTCTTTACCTCACTGTGCACAGGCTCAGATTCTGTCGTCACGAGGCCTGTATAGAAATGGTGCAGAGGAAGTGATGACTAGTTTGCATCACTTTCATTGTACCAGAATTGTCAGAAAATGATTTTTTAAAGATAAAAGAAATGAAATATTTGTTATAAAAAAACTACCTCATCACTCTTTTTTACTTATTTTTTTTTTTTTTTTACCCTAAATCTTAATTTAGAAAATATACCAAAAATATAAGTTTGGGATAATGTTGATTGATCGATTACAAATACTGTGACCCATTAGGGTCATAAGGGCACCACATTTCTGTAGTAGAAATGTTGTTTCTTGGGCAAGATAGCCCATTCCTCTACAAGCCAGTTTTGAATTTCCTTCTAGACCAGTTGCCACCCAAGGCTATAGAATCCAGTCTGTTCTGCTATTTGCCCATAGCTGCAAGGAGAAAAAGATTCATACCTTTCCCAAGGGTATTAGCTTATAAGTGAATGTAATGGGTCCAACTGGAATTTGAACTTGGCTCTCTGATTCCTCAATCCGAGCCACTATCCATTACTCCACCATGCTTCCTTTTTAGGAGATATATATATATATATATATATATATATATATATATATATAAAATCCCAAACTTATATATTAAAAAAGTTTAAATAAAAGATTATATAAACACAAAAGAGACATTTTTAAAAACAACATAGTAAACACATTAGTTGCTCACCATAATGAAACTGACCACAATTTTGACATAGAAAATGCTACTCTAATTAAAAGAGAAAATAATTCACTAAGTTGAAAATATTTAAAAAGTGCTTTAATCACTAGTTCATCCACAGTAAATTTGTATCCAGGTTCTTATAGATTGTTGGTAGATCTTGTGTTATCACAATGTGAGATATTTAATAACAAGGATGAGGGGGAAACAAAAAGGATCTAAATGAAATTTGCTAAATTATTTTTGTAATCTCAATGAATACTTGTTGTCACTTTCATAAGGATTGTTGTAGTAGAGACTTTGTAATCGCAGATACAACTATAGTAACATAATTGAACAATACTGGTGTTAGGACACCTTCGAATAATGATTGCACCAATAGTACTTACTCAATAATACTTGCTCAAAAAGTAACCACCAAATAGTGATCCAAATAGTAATCCGTAATCCTTAGATGTTCACGCTAATTCCAATATATACATTTCCTTTACCATCACATGATCTACTTATTCAAAATGGGATCACCTGTGTTTGCTCTCTGGTGATCTGTGTTCAAACTCCAGTGTCGGCAGCAACACTTTATTCCTATATAACAATTATATACCCAAAACACATTAAAAAAAAAAAAAAAATTTCTAATTTTAAAATTCCCAATGCCTCACGTTCATGTGTAGTCACACCAACATAAATAAACCTTGTTCGATGAAATTCTAAGAAACAAAACGGATCACTCAAAGACTTTTTCAACTGTCATACATCTTTCCACCAAAACTGTTCTTGATATATATAAATTTATATATCATTATCTCATGCATAAGCAGCAAATCACTGATTACCCACTGAAGAGTGGACAGATAGGTCCACCTATGATCTCTGGAACTTGAAGGTAACATCACTCAGCTAAGTCACAAACTTTTATTTTATATATATATATATATATATATATATATATATATATATATATATATATGATGATCACTTAAGGTATAAAATGCTAGTCACTATGCAATGTTGATTTTTTTTTATGTCCATACTGTTTATAGCTACAAACATTATCTCTAATAGTGACCATTTTTCCCCTACCATAAATATATATAAAAATAAATATAGCAAATTTTACATATGGCACTTGTGGTGGCATGGTGAAGTAATGGATAGTGGCTTGGATTGAGGAATTGGAGAGCCGAGTTCAAATTCTAGTTGAATCTATTACATTCACTTAGGTGCTAATACTCTTGGGAAATGTGTGAATCCTCCTCTTCTCCCTCCAGCTATGGGTAAATAGCAGGACAGACTGGGTTCTATAGCCTTGGATGGCAACTGGTCTAAGAGAAGGACAACTCTGAATTCAACCCCGGAGTGGAGCCCCTAAGGCAGATGGATGGCACTTTGTGCTACATTCTGGCAATTTCTGCAGCCACACTGGTACCAAACTGTATTGGTTTATCCTCTCCTTTGGACTCTGCTAGCAAAGGCTGAGTGGGGGGGAACTAGACATCTGGGAAGCCCTTGTTCTCCATATATCCTACCTAGGCTTGTAGCGCACTGCGTTACTCCATCATCTCTCGAGACAGGTGGATGTTGTCGCCGCCGCCATTGACAACAACTTAGGGAGGAAAGAGGACTTAAAAAATCTAACACTCACAGAATATATTGAAGACAAGAAGGACAGAGGAAAAAGTGCATAAACATTATATATATATATATATATATATATATATATATATATATATATATACACAATTAAAATGGAAATAATATTTATAAATGATGCTGAATGTTAATGAAAGATTTTTTTTTCTACACTATGTCTCTCAACATTCCCCATGAAAATAAATGTTTTATTGAGGAGAGACTACTTTAAGGATCAGATGAAAAAAAAAACTGCTTGAAAATTAGAATTATCTGTTTTTACATAATTCCTTTTCCTTTTAGGGGAATGAATTTGTGAAAGCCAACACTGTTAATCAACTGACTGTTATTGCAGAACAAATTCGACAATTGCAAAAACAAGCCAGAAAGGTAACTTTTTTTCTTTTTTTTTTCTTTCTTCAATGTCATTTATTTTCTTTACCTCTATTTCACATTGCAAAATGCTGCTCAGCTGTTCTGGAGTATATTCTTTATGTGCCATGTTCTTTCAGAATGTATGTGATCATGGTTCTCCACACTTTCCTGTTTTTTGTTCCTCTAAATAATTTTGATTCTTTATTTTTTAATAGCTTTACCCCATGCTAGGTGATAGTGCCACTAAAACACAAAGGGTTACTGAGATTGAAAGAAAATCAGAAAGATGTTGATAGGAAGAAAGGCTAATAAAAAAAACAGGATTCAGGAAGATAAATGACAATTGACATTGCATTTAAATTTCTCTAGATTTTTTTTTTTTTTTGTGACAAGGAAGCAAGAAGTCAGAATAGATTTCAACTGAAAAAAAAGAAACTATTAAAATAGAACTTAGTTGCATTTAACTATTTCAACAGTGAGACCTAATTGCCAATCTAGTAGTAAACTTTAATTCATGCAGTCAAGGTATCAAGGAGGAAAGCTGATCAGAACAATTGTCATGAAAATATTTATAGAAAAGACAGAAGGAAGCCACATTCTTTAAATTTTGTCATGAATCTTGAGATATATAGCAGCAGCACCAGACTAGATGTGGGAACAATATTCAATTCACAGTCAAAAGGTAGATTTATAGACATGCAAGATGGGTTCTGGCAATTTCCCTCTTTACCTTTGTTTTACCCTCCCCCCATTTACACAAGCACATTAAGTTGTTCCCCCCATCTTTGATTTCTTTGATTATTAAATCCACCTTTCTTCAGGAATTTCAGCTGTCCCAAATTACATCAACTAACCCAATGGTTTTCAAACTTTTTTTTTTTTTTTTTTTTTTTTTACCATGGACCACTTTTACTCTTAACCTTAATTTGGTGAACTCCATATCCATTTATTGAAAAAAAAATACTTATTTTATTTTTTACTAATAGATAAGTTTAGGTATTGTATTATAGAAATAGTAAATGTAAATTTTATTTTGAAGTAAAACTAATCTAATAAACTTATATTTAACAACTAAATTCTATGGAACATTTATATACACTAGTAAAATAACTCATAATAAACCATTTTAAAATATGTAAGTAATTAATAAATTAAAAATAGTGCAGATTTATTCAATGAGATCCCTGTGGTTGATGCTACTGAAAAGGTTAATACTGTTAATCCTTCCTTTATATATAATCCTTATGTAATTTATTTATTAAATTAATTTTATTATTAATATTTTTTTAATTATTTTATATGTATTAATTTATATTAATACAGGGTGAGGCAGAGAGTACAGACGTTTATAAAAGTAATAGCCATTTCAAAAACGTCTGTCCTTTCTGCCTCATCCTGTATATTAATATTTTATTCTATTAATATCTAAAATTAATATTATTTATTATTAATATATCAAATTAATTTATATAATAAATTCTAATCTTTATATAATTTTCCTTTTATTTATTTATTTATTTATTATATATATATATATATATATATATATATATATAAAAAAAAAAGAAGAGAAGAGAGGTGCATAAACGTTTTTGGTTGTAATGTGGATTTATTTAGAAAAAATATTATGCTTTGTTTTACATAATTTTACGACACATGTTTCTGGTCTCGCGACCGTCTTCAGGTAAAAGCGGAGATTTCCATATATTATTAAAAATAATTAATTTTTCCTTATGTTCAATGTTAAATATTCTCAATATGAGACAACTCTTCATTGCCAATTCAAGAAAGAAATTCGGATTACCAACACACAAACAGAAAATATCTCATATCGAGAATATTTAACATTGAACATAAGGAAAAATTAATTATTTTTAATAATATGTGGAAATCTCCGCTTTTACCTGAAGACGGTCGCGAGACCAGAAACACGTGTCGAAAATTTATGTAAAACAAAGCATAATATATTTTCTAAATAAATCCACATTACAACCAAAATGTTTGCGGCACCTCTCTTCTTTTTTTAATATACATACTTTTCTTTTCGTTGGAACCACTATATTTCTCTTATATATATATATATATATATATATATATATATATATATATATATAATAAATAATCCTTCCTTTATACAACTTTCCCAGTTTTTATTCAACTATTACATTTTAGGTATGCTAACTTACATTGCTTGACCTCATTTTCTGTTAGTTTTAGAGTTGTTTTTCTATTTTTAGTATTTTAATATGGCATAGATTACTGCAGAAATTCCAATTCCCAGATGTAACAACCTCCAATAATGTTACATGGACCTCAAGAGCCACTGATCTAACTGATAAAAAGTTTAATCTTACAGCAATAAATAATGATCCAAAAAAAAAATACAAATTACTATATTTGATGCCATATACAAACTGTTCTATTTGCATTTAATATTACAGATGACTGGAGCTAGAAAAGGCTTACTGCCATGTCACATTGAGATATTGGTTATCATATGATTACGAGTTAAGCAATGTCATGCCTGGTCAGTACCTAGATGGGTGACTGTTTGGGAATACTAGGTGTTGTAAACTTATTTGTACTGGTCATGTAACGGATAATTGCTTGCAATTTCATCAGAAATCTGAGTTCCAATTCTTGTTGGGTTTGTTATATTCATTTACACACAAATAGTCTTGAGGAAAAGTATCGATCCACCTTCCCCCTACTATGGGTTAATTAGTAAGACTTGTATCACTGAATCATTATTATCTCAAAAAAAATTCTTATAAGCTATAATCTTCTGGTTTTAAATAACCTGCAATGGGTTGATAAGTCATAGAAAATGAATCGATCAATGGTGTTAGAGAAGGGTAGGGGGCTAATGAGGGAAGGGAATGAGCATACTCTGATTGAAACAGGTCACACTAAGGTCCTTGGGCAAAAGCATGTATCCACTTCTTCCTTTACCCTCGCTGTGACTAAAGAGGAAGGCATTCTGAGCCATTTAGCCCTCTAAGTCAATCTAACTTGGGTGTCAGGGTAGCAACCTGGCCTTGTAAAAAAAAAAAAAAATTTAGAAATCACAACAGTATCACTTGCTCAAGATGAAGATTAGAACTGATAGAAAATGCTTGCAGTTGACAGTCTTCAGCAAAAGGTGGGTGACTGAGGTGAGCTTGGTTCATTTGAATGGGGCTAGCCTTGATTTTCTCTTTTAGGTCAAGCCTATGTCACATCAGGGTGGTTTCCTATGGAGCCCTCTCCTTGGTTAGGTTAGACAAGCTTTTGTGTACCTAGTTAATGTGAGTAAGTGTTGTCCCCGGCCCTTAGCAAGAGAGGTTCTTGATTTTGTCCAAATGGGCAGAATACAGCGGCTTCTCATTTTTGAGGGTTGGATGGGCCCTACTAACATCAGTTATGTTTAGTTACTTTTGTGTATCGTTTTAGTTTCTTACTGGGTTCATCTCTCCCCCCTTTTATTTTATTCATCCATAAATTTTTAATTGTACATATATAATCATTATATTTTTATGGTATGGTGTGCGTTTTGTAGGTCCCCCTTGAGAGGATGCGGTATTATGGTGCATGGAGGATTGATTGGTGATGGATGAGTTCTTATGGTGAATGTAGAAATTGTAATGTATGAATGGGTCGTGAATCGGATTAGCTACGTATAAGATAGTTAGTGATGACAAGCCTCAACCCCCCCACTCCATTTCAGCCTTGTGCCATAATTGTGTAATTTTTTTCACAATAAATATCGTATCACTTGGTGTGGTTGTATCCACATGATGTCTGCAGGAACAAACCAAAGTCCTACTAATCAACAGCACCTGAGTAAAAATTAGTCAGAAAAAGATACCTTATTTATTTAAGACCTCAGAGATATTTTTTGAGCCATTTAGGGAAAGGGGTTTTATATGCCATCAAATATAATAATCTGGAAAAGTCCCCATTGAGTTCAGAAGTCTTGTGATATCCACACCTGTTTTAATAAAATAGAAACTCTTGCAAACTTGGATCATAATACCTACAAAAAAAATGAGGTGTCAAAAGGACAGTTTTTCCCTTGACACCACTATTATTTTAACTACCTTCACTCCTCAGCAATGTTTATCATTTTAAAAAAATGATGATTAGAATTGGAATAAAATCTAATCATATGAACCTAGATTTATACCTTTTTTTTTTAGTTCTTGAGAATTAACAACAAAGTTGTTAAACACTATTTATTAGATTATTTATTTACATTATAATCTTATTTATTGGAATGGTTTACAAAAAATTGGTTAATTGCCAATTGATTTGAACTTTATAAAATAGTAAATAAGGATTTCCTTATAGTTGGTTTAATTATTTTAATAATTTAGTAAATGTTTATAAATGGATTTTATGAATAAAAAACGTTTTAATATTTATTTTTTTATAAATTGGTAAATGGTAAGTATTGCATTGCATTAATTTTAATACAATTGTATTAGTTTTTAGAATCTTGTAAATACAAAATTATTCTTGTAAATAAACAATCTAATAAATAAACAAATAGTGTTTAATATTTTTGTTGTCAAGTCTCAAGAACAAAAAAAAAACTATAAATTTACTTTCATATGTTTAGGTTTTATTAAAATTCTAATCATGGCTTTTTAAAACAATAATCATTGCTGAGGGAGTGAAGGTAGGTAGAATAATAACAGTGTCAAGGGAAAAACCATCCATTTGACACTCCATTTTTTTTGTAGGCACAAAGGTTAAAGGTTGCCTGTGGTTCTTGATTAAGAAATCTTTATTTGCCTAATCTTTAAGACTGATTAAATAGGTCAAGGTCTGGTCCCTCTTCCCCCAATACTAAGTATGATTGAGAGAAATATTAAATAAACCCTCTCTAAACTCGATCATATCTCTCAAACCATCTCTCATTAGCCTTTTTGTTAAATTACAAGAACTTATACTACCCATCAAATGTATGAATTTTCATTTCATTTTGTTTCATCTTTTGGAAGTGTTATCTGATGATCCAGAGTCCTTTAAAAGGGCTCTGGTGAAATAAATTATTATAATGGAACCTTAAAGTGGTCTGTTTTTCTTTAAAATATTAACTCTGGATTTACATTGAGCTCTCAGGATTTCATCCTCCTTGGGACTACCCATATGGATTACCAAGTTTTTCATAACTTAACTATATATATATATATATATATATATATATATATATATATATAATATATTTTTTTGAAACTATGTAATTTTCAATTTGTCAAAAATATGACAGTAATGTCTACAAAACTTAAAATTTATTTTTTGCCAAAGGAAATCAAATATTTTATAATAGTGCTTTAAACTTCTTCAGTTTTAAACTGATAAAAAAAACATTGTGAATAGTTCTCCTGCACTTCTTCCCCTAATGGTGATTTGCCAACTGAATTTCCTTATAAGCCTCTGATATGGCTAATATTTCTGGAACACTCCATATCCAGCCATCACTTGAAACTGGCATTACATCAAAGCCACATCTGAAAACAAATGTTGATTCCACTTGTGTAATATCATCTGACAAAGGTCATCAGAAATAATCATGTCTGCTCTTTGTTAGAGCTAAAAACTTTATCACAGCACTGAATGGAGATGCAATATCAATGACTTGGCCAATGTAAACGTTGGAGTCATACTGCAACTCATTGACCTTGGTGCTCATAACTGAAGGTCACCTGAAGTGGTTCTTCTTCATTACAACTGCTAGTGTTGTTTAAATATTCAGAATCATTGAGTAACTTTTCTTCTTTCCTTGGTCTTAGAGGTGGAGGTGAATCAACTGATTTTCCTGTCATCAAGTACCTGTAAAGAGCAAATTTACTTCCACCAGTGTTGATTTTGATACTAAAGAGAACCTTCAGTTGTTCTTTCAGTGCTTCTAAACTGGTGCTTGTTGTACATTTTTAATAGACTTCATAGGACCACATTGCTTAATGACCAAGTTAATGATTCTCTGTTTCTCAGCAGCAGTTTGGCACTTTTTTTTTCCTCCTTTTGCCTCTCATTTTTAGCAATCCTTTCCTGTACCTGAAGTTTCAGAATTACATCTTATTGCTTGTGTCTGTCACAGATTTTTTGCATGCTTTCTTGAAATGCTAACTCATTGTAACCAAGCTCTAGTCTGGTTGCACTTGAGCACGTTTGAGGTTGATCGATGAAGTAATGCAAGGCATCTTTTTTTCTTTTCTTCTGTTTTACTCCAACTTTCAAATACCTTTAACACACTTAAATTTTGAAAGTGTTTAAAAAAAAATTTTTTTACACTTACATAAGAGAAAAATCCCTGTAGATGTTACTTGTGTAAAAAGAATGTATTCAACCGTGAACATACTGAAAAGATTTTCATTGAGTTAGTATTTGCATAATTTTCTTTCACATTTGACAAAAAAAAAAAAAAAATTTTACATTGAATAACTTAAATAATAAAAATGTACTTATAATTTTTCATTGCAATTCTGAAATTCCTCTGAGGAATTTTTCTATTAAATTAAGATATGTTTTAAGAACTGAAAAATGTTTAGTTTAATACCATTTTCAAGTATTAAAATTAGAAAACTATTGTGGTTAGCTCAGCTCATAGATTACCATGCATAAATAAACGTTATTTTCACTAAAATTTTTTTTTTTTTTACAAAATTCGGTCACTTATTTCTTAATTTTACTAATTTACTTTGAAACAAAAGACAAATACTAGATTTTTAAATTTGTTTCATTTGTCATTAAAAATGGAGATTTGGTGAGTGAAAATGTTTTAAAAATGTCTGAAAAAGTTAAAACCTTATTTAAATACATAAAATTTTGTATTTATTTTTTTTTAATTAGCTTTAAGCTTTTATCATTCAAATGAAAACAAAATTTAACTTCAAAGGAGAGAGTTAAATTATTCCAAATGCATTTTAAAGTTTTCTTCAGTAAGTTTGTAGCAATACTTTATAAATGACCATTAAAAATTTTATTTTTAATTTTTTATCGATAAACAAGTGACTAAAATTTAAAGAACTAAAAGTATACCAAGTTTATATTCTTTCAATTAATTTTTTTTTAAGATAATAAGAACAGAATTTGAGTTGACAGCTTAGACAAAATAAAATATTGTTTGATTTTTGTCTAAACTGCCAGCTCAAATTTATTTTAAAAATAAATAAATAAATAATTGCTTTATTTATACGATTTTAAAATGCATCATTAAAGATTTAAACTGTCATTATCCATATGATAAAACAAAAATGGGATTCAGCTGGCAATGTTAAAATCAGTAATTCAAAATTTAATGCATTGGACACCCAACTATTTTGCCCCCAAAAATGCAGAATACCCACTTTTTGATTTGTGTGCACCTCATAAAACCAACAGATTATTAAAGATGAGACATTGCTTTACAAGGTGAAAATTTCACTTTTTTTTTTTTTTTTTGCAAGCGAAGAATTTCTCTGGTATTTCATCCACTAAAGTTTTCAACTTAAAAATGCTTTGTGAAAAACATCAAACCTTATGGTTCACCCACCAAACTGATGAACATCCTTTTTTTCTATAAGATGGGACCATTTTGATAAGTGTAGAGACACATATCAGTGTGCAACTAATTTTAAAAAAAACCACTATGAAATCCTCAACAAAAATCACCAGCCATCATTGAAATAATTTAAAGAGATAGGGAGTGACAACTCATCATCATACATGAGAAAAAAAAAATTATATTTTTAGAAAAAAGAAGATTAAATTTTGTTTGCATACTATTATCTGGACTCAAATATAAACAAAATATAAGCAGTTGAAATGGAAGGTGATTTCACTACTTTGATACTAGTTTGCACTATTAATTAAAGTAGTTTGGGATACCTACTGACACTTCAAATTTTTCTAGGTATCCAACTATTTGAATGATTTTTTAACAAAACTCGGATAAAATATTGCCAATACATCAAATTTAGCAGCAATCAAAATAGGCAATTGACAGTGCAAAAAAAAAGAACTGAGCATTTTACTAATTGTATACAAAATATCCAACCATTTTATCTATCTGGAGTGTGCATTCTTCATGTCTTATTCATTCCCCCCCCCCCCCAAACACTGCATCATCCAAGTCAGTACCCGACCCCAGTGCAGATTTGTCTCCCTCTGACATTTCCCCAAAATAAAATTACTGATAAAATACTATGAATGAGATGGACAATGCCATTTTGAAAAGTAGAAGGGAGGATGCTTGAATCAAGTTTGCAAGATCCCAAGAGTTGTAAATGAAGTTAGAAATGGCTGGATTACTTCCAGGCTGACATTCATTTTATATCTCTATTTTTAGCCATGTACTTGCCATAGAGCAACAATTAAGTGGTATCCAATTTTTTTTTTTTTCTCTGGGCTACATTTTCGGAATTAAAATTTGCTGATGCTGCACTAAATTTTGATAAAAATGAGAAAAAAATTTTTATATATATATATATAAAATACAGAGATGGTTAAAGGGAAATAACCACGGATTTAAAGTCAGAACATTATCATTGATAATTCTCTCCTCCAATTTGCAGACCCTAGTTACCATATCCCATATATTGATAAAATCGATCAATTATTTATAACTATGCTGGGACTCGTGCAGATATAAGCAATCCATATTTGAATATATTACCTTTGGCATATGAATTTTTTTTTAAAACTGTTTCTAAATCATACCACATACCTCGGTTCACCCAATAATGGCATCCCAAATTTCCAGGAACAAGTTCTATAAAAGGCCATCTTAAGGATATATATATATATATATATATATATATATATATATCCTATTCTGCCACACTGTTTGATATTCCAAGTTTAATCCTTGTTCTAGTCAAGAGCTTAGTAAATATCTTGGTAGCTACTTGAAATTGCTAGGCTGATTATTGAACAAGCTCTGGATTTATAATTTTGATTATACATTTGAGCAATTGCAATTTTTTTTTTTCTTTTACCAGGTCTTAGAAAAATCACATCAAGACACAATGCTTCACCAGGCAGCTTGCAATATGGTCAAAAAACCAGGGACAATCTATTACCTCTATCAAAGGCCATCAGGACAAAATTACCTGTCTATTATTTCACCTCAGGTAAGTTCTTAATTTTATTTTCCTTAACTTTGATATTAAACATGGAAAGTTATTGAATTGCAGTTAAAAAGTTTTTTTTTTTTAAAGAAATAAAAAAAAAAAATATTAGTTATTTTATCAAATTAACAAATAGTAATGAATTTTTTTTTCTTTTTACTAGACAATAGAAACTGAATAGCAGATTTCATTTGTACATAAAGTTGGTGATCCCTTCTGGACCCATTTCTCATCACAGATCAAAATTGATTTTCTGCCACCCAGCAAGAATCAAACTCGGTCCAAATTGTTCTAGCGATACAAGCTTGTTAACCATTACACCACCTTGAGGTGCCCCTCATCACAGATCACTAATCAGTTCAAAAATGGTTCAGCATAAAAGTAACAGCCTGTATTTATGGAGTACTTATTTTCTGATATAATGCAGGTGCAAATGTATAGCTTGTCTTGAAATCTTAGTGTAAATATCTGGTATGTTTGATGTATTTAAGTTTGTCACAAATGATGTTTACCATTGTCTCTTACGAGGCAACTTCTGCATGACTCTGGTCAGAATGAGAACATGAATCATTTTTGAGCAATATGGTCACTAACTTCACATATCCTTTTTTTTTTTTTTTTTAAATTTGTTCAGTAGATACTCAAGCACAAGTGTTTTGTAAGCTACCATACTGATTTCATTCAATTGGTACCAAGTGATGCACTATGTTACTGAAAAGAAAAATATTTTTTAATGTATAAAATCATTTTACTTTTTATTGCAACTTTGTTTAAATATAACTTGTAAATTTGCATCCTTTATTCTTGAAAGTTCATCAGCAATAAGTCAATATTGCTAAACAATTATAGAAAAGGGAAGTTGCCATTAAATATAATCTCTCCTGTTTTTTTTTTTTTTTGTTCTTTTGCCAGGAATGGGGAGATTCCTGCAGTAATAGATACTTGGGTGGATTTCGGCTTGAATTTGATCAATCCTGGACACCAATGGAGAAAATTCAGCAAAGAGAATCAGAAATTAATTTAATGGAAAAAATTATTCAGAGATACAACACAGAGTCTGCTGAATCAGGAATTACCCTTGATATTTTAACAGGTTCCAGTAAGGAGCCCATGAAAGAAATTCTGGCCATTTCAGATCAATGTGAAGAGACTTAGATTTTTTTTGATTTTTTTCAACAATTTTAAAATTATTTTCATAAAACCTTTTGGAATATTTTAATAAGGTAAAGGAAAATATTAAAGTTTGTTTATATGAAATTAGCACAGTATTTTTTTTTTTTTTAAATTAAAAAGAAGCAACAGAAAAATAACTTATTTCTGGTGTTTATTCAACTTCCCAAAATTTACCTATGTGTTTGTATAAACAGTCTTTGTGGCTTAAATCTTTGTTTCTAGTATCATTGAAGTAAACCAAGGATTTTAGAATCTAATTGTGGAGAAGTGCTTTTAATCTTCATTGGCCTTGCCACAATTGCAGCTTTGTGTCATGCTGTATGAGCAAAATATTTTTTCTCTTTATAATGCTAAAGCAGCCTAAAGATTTTTAGAAGCAATTTCTAAATTTTATGCTAAAGACTTTGCATTGAACACGTTACAAGAGAATCCTCACTAAAATAACTAACAAATAAATTTGAAACCCTTTCCTGTTTAGCATCCAAACATAACTATTACCCATTCAGTCTCTAGGACATTTTTTTAGCCTACACAACTTAGGCTGAAAATTTTAATAAAAAATAAAGACCCAAACAACCTAAGTAGTCATTATGGAAATAAATTTGTGTGCAATGTCCATCAATGGTTAAAAAAAAAAATTGGTTTTTAGTTAGATTTGATCATGAACCTGTGTTTTTGTTAGAGTAACCTTAAAAAGGTAAAGTGACCTATCAAATCATTTTTGGACTTCAAGATCAATGTTTGCCTCAATTTCAGACTTAACTCAGGTATAGCAAAGCCATAACTTAAGCTTTACTCTATAATTAAATTAGAAGAACCAAAACTTGGCAAGTGATGCCCAATTTAAACATAATTACAAAGATCAGGTGTGGTTGAAATATCGTTTTAGCCTATATAAAGCCTTGATGTCATCAATAGACATCACATTAATTCGAATAAGTAAAAATATCACTGAAGCTACAAATTTAAAATTTCGCCCAATCTGCTTAAAAATAAATAATAGAATTTAGATGACTGAACAGTAGCTAGCTAGTGATTGCAAACAGTATTTTATATATATCTCAAAACCTTTCATTTAAAAAGGTCAGTTCAGTGTAGTTTATCTTTAATTTCTTTTAAAAGACTTAAGTTATTTACAATTAAAGCCGATATCTGGTTCAATTGCTAAATAACTATATACACTAGAGCAGTAAAAGCCTTGGTAGTGGAGGCTATTAAAAAATCTAGTCATTTTTACAAATGTCATTTTATGGGAGAAAACATGATGGTTAATTTCAGAGTTAGTTTTAAGGTATCCTATACTGAGCTTACAAAATACTCTCTTAGTGGTGGGAAAGAATTACATTATTTAAACAAATTATGAAGTGGAGGAACCACTTTCCCCTATTACATCAACACCCAAAGGCAGTGAAAAGTAACAAGTTCTATGCAAAACACACATACAAAGATCACATTTCTTGGCTTTTGGCCAAGGTTTATGTTAGTTTTTAATGCACAAAAGATTTAACTCTTGGCAATTTGACAATGTCATCTCTTTTGAGCAACTTTCAAGTTTTGATGACACAAAAAAGATCAAGAACTAATTTAAGAACTTATCAAATTCACATATCTAATAACTTAAAATGTTAAAAAAAAAAAAAAAAAAAAAAAAGTCACCTTTCTAAATGCCAGCTGGAAACAAAAACAAAAAAAAAAAAAAAAAAGATATAAAAACAAGAAATAGAATAGCATTGGAATTTCTATATTTACAAAACATGAGACAGCAACAGAGATGCCAATAACAATGCCAACAGTAGCCAAGTCATTGCAAGTAATCATGACAATAGATAAAAAATATTCATTGTCACTATTAAATTTATGGAGCACTCCATATTTTAGTTCCTTAGGAGCTAATGACTACAAAATGTGTCCAACATTTTAAGCATTTCTGGAGAGCAAAATCTTTACAGCTCAAAATTCAATAATAAACAGTATTTCATAAGAAATGATCTATTCCTCACCCACTGCTTTACAGTTGAGTCTTTTTAGAATCTGATTTTTTTTTCTAACTGTAGATTAAGGAAAAAACAAAAAATGCTTTCATTAGCCAAGAAGTAACTGTATCCTCATACTGAAATTTGAAACATACGAAGAGCAGGTGAGCTTGTGACTGTTGCTGAGTTATAGAAGAAAGAAAACTCCGAAACTATGTTTAACCACATTGGTATTTATTTACAGCACTTCACTGGATTTTGTTTACAAAAAATGACAATCAGAAGGGAAGGAAAAAATGCATGTTACTAAAAAGTGAATCAGTACAGTCAAGGCTTTACACTGTACCCACAAACTCCATCTTAAAAAAGTGCTGTTGTACTTACATTCCCATAAGTGAAAAGAGATTCAAAGCTTTATCTTTGCTGCCCTTTTATTTTCAGATCTATCCAGCAACACCTATTTATATCATTTTAATGAATCACAAGTCAGAATTTGAAAGATCTTTACCAATAAAGCAATAACATTAAACCTCCATTTTTCCAAAGAGAAAAATATTTTAAAGAAAACATCCTTAGCTTAAAAGATTTTTTTTTAAATTTCAAAGTGATGTTTTGCACCAAAATTTGGTTGGGGGGTTGGGGTAGGGAGTCATCTTTCTTCCTGTATACAGCCTTCACAGCCACCAAAACAAAAAATGTCGCTGAGGTTTCCTTGTCCTCAGGGAATATATAATATATATATATATATATATATATATATATATATATATATATATATAACCTTCACTGGAAAGCAGCATTTAGAATGGTTTTAAAAACATAATAGTCACTTTAACCAGTTAACACCAATTTGGTAGGGAGGGTACAAATCAAGCCTATCTGCTATTGCTGTCATTGTTTTTGCTGTTAGATCAAGTGTAGAGGTGATAGCATTTTTGGTTCTGGTCACAGGCTGGCATGGTTATGAGATAAGAGGGGTGAAAAAGAAAAACATGCAACCTGTGATTTTTTTTCACATTTTCAATTGTTTTTAATGTCAAATTTTTAAAATTTTCTATCCCGATTTGAAAAGCAAGATGGCAACTTGTCCAAGGTAGAAATAAATGAAATGCTTAGTCTCATGAGTGACATAACTGCCAAAATTACGTCCCACAATACAATGCCATGTTGGGTTGAACTTCTTATCAAACTCCTTCTTTATGTATGCAGCAATGTCCTTTTCAATGTTGAACTTCTCCAGAGCCTGCGTCGCACATTCAATTGCATCTGTCTGCATATCTTCAGACATATCAGCATTCTTGATGACAGCTTTTCGTTCAGACATCTTGGTCTGGAAGAAAAAGGAAGTAACTGAAAACATGAATTTACATAAAATATTTATAATCAACTTTTTTTAGTGAATTTATTTTTTTATAGCTTTTAAAATCAAATCAGATTGTAATTACTCACCAGATTAAAAAAAAAATTCATTAAATAACTATTGAAGACCAACACTATTTACATTTAAACCTTTTTCAAATTCTATCAATGTCAATCTGAAAAATTCAATTTTACAATTATAGGCTTAACTTAACAGAGCTGCTTGTCTTTATTGATTTAGTCTTCGGATATCAGTCAAATTTCAAACAGTGATCACAGAATTGAACACGATTTTAACTTCTGGCAAGAATGGATTTCTTTTTAGTTGACAAAGTTTGGCTAAGTAATTAAGTGTAAAACTTTATTAGTTAATGGATGATTGAAGATGAAAATCTTCATATAAAAGTAGTCTATTCTGCCCTTCGGCCTTCATAAGGTGTTAGTCGACCAGAGTTACCCGCAGGGAGTTTCGAACTGAATATTTTATTTACTAAGCTACGGGTAGATGGGTAGATTGTTCTCGTTCCACTGTCCTTGTCTAGGGATATGTCGCCTTGTTCGTATTTAGTACTACTTATCCCGTTTCCACCAAGTCTAAGTCTACACTGCTTGGCCTAGGGATTGAACTATTAGGTCACAAAATTAAACCAAAGCAACAGTGTTGTGATTTAGTTAAAAAAAAAAAAATACTAGCCGATATCTCCCTAGAGCGGAACGAGAACAATTTAACCCCTGGAGCTTAATGAAAGGGTTCAGTTCGAAATTTCCTGAAGGTTACCCGGATCGGCAAGTAGTTGATGTGATGAAAGCCGGAGGGCACAACGGCCGGAATATTGTGATAACGAGGAGGCCAATAGTTCGCATATAAATAACTCTTAAGAAGCCCTAGCCAGAGGCTTATAAATGAAGTAGCAAGATACCGACGTATATTAATGTGCAGATTTTGTATAGTGTCCAAACAGTAAACAAAGAAATCTCAAATTATGTTAGCTAGCATTCGTAGTAGAAGGGAAGGAATCCAATGAGGGAGGATGGCATTACTAAAGTTAGAGGGGGTGGGCGTCAAAATAATCTGTCCACCAATCGGGCAAATATGTTAGTTCATATAAAATTCAACTAAACAATTTGAAGTCCACAAAGTATTCGATTAAACTGGATTGATAGTTGAATAGTTAAAATTTAATTAATGTAATAATAGTGTAATAATTATTATTGCATCCCAAAAGGATGAATAACTCAATCAACATTAGTGCCAGAAATTGTTGGTACTAAAAATCTGCATTATAAAAATATGGTTACGTTATTCCTGGTCTATTTTTTACATTAGTTTGTTGTTGAATTTAAAAGTTCAAAACTTTCATATGGTATTTGACCAATTAAAAAAAAAAAAAGGAGTATTAAATGTCAATTTTTTTTAAGGGTTCTTTTTAGGTCAGAGCAGAGAAACCTGCGAAAGTTAATTTAATTACTAGTGAATTAGTGCTCGATTCGGATAAGAAATTGAGTACTTTTTGAACAATTCAATTAATAACACTCCATCCATATGGATGTGATATGATCATTAAATAAGATCACTAAATATAAATTTTTGTCATTTTCCACACTTTTTTAGCTAAGTTTGGAAAACAAAAACCGTTTAAAGTAAATTAA